CTGTACAGTGAAGGACATTTGCTCCTCATTGCACATGACATAAACGGTCTGCACAACATGGCACCATCAATTTGGGGTGCGGCAGTATATTCGAGCTTATCTTTTAGCCTGAAAGAACCCTTCGACACCACAGTGGCTCAGTGATGCAGCGCCAACCTTACAAGAACCAAAAGCAGAGTTCATCATTACCTCCCCACGCAGACGACGTGCATCGCTTACTCACAAATCCATGGAGTGTGAAAACAGCCCTCCAAACGAATACAAATATGGCAACGAGATTGCAGCGTTTTTGTTGTGATGGAATAAGGCAGGCATCACCTGCATGCCAATCACATGCCTCACTCGCAACACAAGTGGAGGGAGGACACCTGATTTGTTGGAGCGTGAGTGGGTGGGTGAAGTGAAATGGAGGTTGCACATTCCGCTCCGAGGTGGTAAATGCTTTGTGTTTGGGAAAAAGTGTGTTTGAGTGGTAGATTTCAGTGCTACAGATTTTTGTAATTGAAATGTGGAATTGTCGTGACAGCATGAGTAATTATTTTCTTTTGTCTTTTTTAATTGGTTATGATGACATGCTGAGAAATGCATGCCCTCAGACTGGTCTTGTTGACAGTGTCTTTAGCGGATAATGTTATTTCAGTTACTGTCAATCAGTAAGAAAATAGGGGATAGAAGGATTGGTGCATAATTCTTCTGGTTTGCTTCAAAGCAGTGCAGTGCTTTAAGGAAATCAGTGGATGCGCAACAGCACAGTCCTTCCATCCCTTTGCAACTAATCTGGTCACGTTCCCTTGGGAGGGAGTTCTTAATTAAAGACGGATTATCGCGTCTCATTAAAATGCACAAGCAGTCACGGGTTTTGTGGGTGCGAAAGTCGGCGGAGAAAGGATGAGGAGGAGGAGGAAGAGAACGGGACTGTATTGAGAATGCATGTATTGACGCCTGGGCAATGAGGAATTGGTACACTTGGAGCATAAGAAGATCGTACTCCTGCAATCCTCTAGGCCTCTCTTTCCAATGCCAATTCCCAATGGCTACTTTGGGTGTCCAAATTCCTTTAAGAGGCCAAATGGCCACGTAGATAAATGTAACTATTGCCTACGCCTTTTCCCCCTTTCGCAAGCGCTTTTACGCTCAAGATTTGCAGATCTTCTTGTGTCGTCTTTTCCGTGACATTCGGCACTATGATAACCTACTTAGCTCTAGAGTCGTTGTGTACCTCTTTGCAGAAGGGATCGCTAAGAGTGCAATGATTTATTATCTCGGTAAAGTGTGGAACAATTACGCCAACTATATCAAAAACAGCTTGTGGTCTCCTGTGCTCCATCTGGCCTCAATGTAATACCGCGTAAATTAGTGGCTGATAAACATGCTACTGATATGATTAAGTAGAGTGATTTGTCCCATACCGTAATTATGAGTTGTCAAAGCATCGTAGGCGCAACCAGGTCATGGCACACAGTTATCGTCCTGATACCAAAGGCAGCTTTGTGCTGAGGTTACCTTGTGCTTTATTCATTTTTTATGGATAAAATCAATTAGAGTGTTTATTAGCCCTCGGTTGAGATTATCTTCGAACTTTCAGCTTGCTTGATAATTTTAATTGACGGGACGCTCTACGTTCCCAGCAATTCCATAAAAACCAAGTAACCCAAATGTTTAACGCTAAGCTTGCACAATTGGTCGAAGTGACACTCCGTCTTAGTGTCACAAGAGGCCTTAGCATTTCTAATTTGTCATTTTATCGATGCGATTTCCTCGGAGTGCCAAACTGAACTGGGAATTATCATGTGGCATCTAACGCCTTTTTTTAAATCCACGGTTTATCGGGTTAGCATAGAAAGTAATCAAGTCTACGAACTGACTTTGACTTTCGTGACTTTCGCCTATGACTTGGAATTTACATGCGTCTCTCGATGCCAATAGCGCTGCCCCTTTACAGATGTCAGGTACAAATTTGATGAAAAAGTGAGAAAAAAAACAATCAAGTCAAAGTTTTAGCCACTATACTCGCTTAATTAAGTGTCTATGTAGAAAGTGTGTCTTTCATATAAGGCCCCTTCGCATTCTATCCTACTACTTTTGGCAATCGCAATCACTGACGACTGCTAAACAGAGGACTGCAATACCACACCGACGACAGTGAGTGACATTACGAGGGATGCAAAAGATTCCGTGGCACGAATAAATTTACAAGCGGGACGAATAAGTGCTTCATGATTGAATTCAATTTCTCAGCCTCCTATCCTCTCACACACGTGTTCGTGTGATTGTGAGTTTGATGGCAACAGGCGATAAGCATCACCTGAAGGCCTTGTTACATGAGACATTGGTTGTGGGTGCCCTAGAAAATCAAAACTGTGTATGGGACTCAATCACACCTTCTATACGCATAGTAAATACTCCATCGCACGAATACCAATCACGTAAACATCGCCTCCCTCAATGTACAGAAGGTAGTGTATAAGGAGAAAAAAAAACCCACCTGCTAACGTTTTCCACCGCTCTTCCTTCCCACATCACTTACGATGCTGTCACATCGTTCCGTCTATGTACTGTGTGAATATCCTATCTTTATTCGTCGTCAAGCGCAGACCGAAGCAGAAGTTTGGCACCGATTATGATGTACCTAAAGTTGCTCCACAGTCCGTCTAACCTCATTTTACTCACTGCTTCCATAAATTCACCCCACATCGCCCGACATCGCTGAGACAGAAATGCCGCTAGGCTTTTGCCACTCGAATCAATTCACGCAAAAATCAAAAATGCGTCAATTCATTCCCAAGAGTAATGTTCAAGCATAGAAAGAGCTTCTGATCAAAATCAGCGACAGTTTAAATGCAGATCTACCAATCAGAACCGCTGTCAACGGTTTGACAGGATCCACTCTGTTGCACTAGTTTAACAGCGAGATTTTAGTTTATGAACTAATACCGCTGCTAACGTGTGCAACTTATCGACTCTCCATGTAGATAGCACGACTGGAAAAACTAATTATTAATTCGAAAGGAAATGAAGTGACGATGATAAATACTCTGCATTCTGTTCCTACACCAACCTGGAATTCATCCGTCTTCACCTCGAACAGTTAGTAAAATGATGACATCTCACAAAAAATGTAACATACTACTACAGGGAAAAGGATATGTATGAATATAGAGAAAAGATACTACTCGTGAGAAATTGAAACAGTAGCCCTATACCAAAATAAACTCCGAGGAATATTTACAAAGACGGGTCAAAAAAAACCGAAAGAAAGAGGATTAAAGATCACAAATTGCTCAGTCGCAGAAGCCACCATATCCATGTCTCTGCTGACTTTCAGGTAAGATGGAGGCGTGAATTCAAGTAAGGAATTTCTGGAAGTTTGATATCCTTCAATTTCTGTGCTATCTTCAAATCCTTCACAGCAGACACAGCACGAGAAGGGGCGATTGGGAGAGTGGGTTGCTAAACAGGGAGAAAATTAGTACCATTCAATAACCAGAACATATCACTATGACAACCAGCTTTTGAAAAAAAGGAGTTCCAAACTTCTTTTTACCTCTTGTTTTTCCAGTTTATTTTGCTCCTCACTATGATAAACAATTTCACTAATATGCGTTTCTAAGACCATACCGCCAATGATTAGCTCGTTGAGGAGGAAATGAACCTAGAAGGGGTGGAATCAAAGCAAACATTAAGTATCTGGAAATTTCGAGTTCCATTTTAAAGTAATTAGGAAGTAGTTACTTTATCAGAGTGAAATATCAAGTCTAGTTCGCAAACACTTTCGAAGGACTTGTCCAGTGCTTCAACAAATACCTGGATGAGATCAAGAATGCCCAATTCACTTTCCGTTGCATCGACACAAAACACGAAGTAGAGCGTTGCATAGTGCCGATAAATAATACGACAATCGTGTCCAGAAAATAAATTGCTAAGACGACTTGTAAAGTGTTGTGCAGCACTTACTTTCCACCTTCAAGAAAATTGCACACATTGTCATCACGCTTCGATACAAGGAGGAAAGTTTCATTGAGAAGTTTTTGCTGCAGTTCTTCTGACTAAAAATCGTGAAAATAAGCAAACAATACGACTAATGTCCCATCTGCACACTAAATAAGCTGTAGAAATGGTAGTAATTTTCGAAAATCGAATGATCATTCTTTGTCAAGGTGAACTCTAGATTTAGAGGAGTAAAACGTTTGACTTTAGACAAAACAAAGCACCAATGTGGATAAGCAGCTTTAAGACGGTTATGAATATGAATCAGAATTGATTAATGACACCCTCTGGTGCAAATTATAACTTATGTTCCACAAAACAAAACTAAATTGAGGCGAACCAAGATCCATTATTGCATGTTCAAGTAACAGGAATGGATAATGAAGTATGGAACAAGTACGGATAGTATATAATAGATTAAACAGTAGTAATGTAAGGACCAAATATGCAAAACATTAAGAAACCGTATTAAGCTTACCATATTATCATAGAATTTCATTAAACGAGGCTTGCCATTATTGTTAAAAATCAACACGGCCCGAATCATCCCGATACAACCAACAACCGAATGGCAGCCACCAGATGAAAGATACCGCTTGAACCAGCATAACAAAACTAGGACTTGAAAATAAGTAAGTTCACAAACAACATTCTTACTAGTGATCTTAAGCCTTTTACTCTTAAGTTTTAACACATTTTCGCTATATTCTGACATGCGAAGCGTCTCGACAATAACTGTTTTGGAAGTAAGTAAGACAGAAATATCATTCCTACCGCTCTTGGATTTCGCCTCAGATATGGGACTTGTTTAAGGTTTACATGTAAGACTAGAGCAGAGCCCCACAAATACTTGCAATAATGGAATCACACTTAAAGTCTAATGAAACCGCTTATTCATGCCAACGCATGGAAGATGCATGTTTTACTCCACTGCTACCAAGTGAACAACAGAAAGTAACTAAAGTCTTCGAACTTTTACAATTAGTGGAATATCGCCCTCGAAGCATTGAGGAAATCTGGAACGCATCTAGGTTGAGTCTAATCTCAAAATTGAGCAGTACTCTGGCATCATTGTTAAATGGATCTGGTGTTACACGAGGTCCTTCGATCCGTACTTTCTATACACTTTTTAAGCACAACCTCTTGTTATTTACTCGCTACCTTCTTTGACGTTGTCACTTTTGAATTCATAAGTTGTATTTCTGCCTATTCGAAGTGTCGAAATGCTGTGCGTATTCTGGAATACGAGCTGTGCGACGAATTCAAATGCCTCCTTTCACCGAGATGGCAGAAAATTACCGAAGTGACAAATAAAAAACCGGAATCTTTACACCAATGGCTACCACGTTGCATAGAAAATGGGTGCGTATGAGCAATCAACAGCCGCACTACGTAAATTCAATCAGAGGGAAGAATTTACCATTCGAAGAAGCCTTCTCTCTCGGTTATGTTCGATTGGTCTCCTTACCAAATCCTCTTGACCCCCGTAGTCCTCTAATCTTTATTGAAATAGAATCTTTCGGGTGGCATTTGGTTCGCGGCTATGGATATGCAAGGAGTGTTTATGGCACTAAAATGGATTTTAGTGAGGCCTGGTGTACCGATTACATTCGCGCAACTGACAATGGTACCCGAGTCACCGTATGGGATGATCACCTCTCTATGTGGATTCCTGCTGAAGAGGCAGTAGCAACGAATGTGCTTCTTGTCTGAATGAATAGGGTGTTTAAAGTGTGTAAGAGTAGACGAAAACTGTTTAGAGTGTCAGCAATTCAGCCTGGAGGTATGCAAAGCCAATGGCTTAATCCGCT